GGGAGGGAGGGGGAGACCGAAGACACACCCCTACACAGACACTCCGATCGGTGCGTGTGGTCCATCTGTGTGTGCAGTGACGTCACGGCGAGTCCCGCCTTGAGCGAGGCGTCAACGCCCAGCATATCCAGGCCTTTTCTCGCTGCTGGGTGAGTCACACGCAGACAGAGAGAGAGAGAGCTACACACATGCATTTTGTGTGTGTGTGTGTGTGTGTGTGTGTGCAGGTCGATGAAGAGCAGCGTCTTCAATCTCACGAGCGCGACGTTAGGTGCGGGAGCACTCAGCATTCCTTTCGCTGTCAGCGACGCAGGTACGCCATGCCATCCATCCATCCATCTCTCTCCCCCTCTCTCTGTGTCAGGTGTGGTCATAGGTGTCGCGCTTCTGGTGTTCATCGGCATCCTGTCCATCCTGGCCACCGTCTATGTCGTCCACGTCATCAACTTCACTGAGCTGAAGACCTTCGAAGAGATGGCCGTCAGGGTGAGAGCGAGAGCGCGTTAAAGCGTGAACCACCCTCACACCGCCCCGCCCTCTGTGTGTGTGTTTGTGCAGGCGGCGGGGCGCAAGTTCGCCCTCTTCGTCGAGATGAACATCATTCTTTTCTGTTTCGGGACGGCCGTGGGGTATCTCATCTCAGTCGGCGACATAGCCGAGACCATCATCGACGCCTGCTTTGAGCGGGGCATGCACCTGCACGGCGTCGACGGCGCCAGCGGCCACCAGCAAGTCAACGTCGTCATCGATGGCTTGCCCGTGTGGCAGCAGATGATCCTCGACAGGCGATTTATCCTGTTTGTGGTGACCTTTGGGGTGCTGCTGCCTCTCTCTGTTACGGAGAAGCTTAACGAGCTCAGGTGGGCATTCTGAGAGGCACATGTGCCGGCTGTGGTGGGTGGGGGTGCATGGCTTGGGTGTATGTGTATTGCCTTGTGGTGGTGCAGGTTCACGTGTTTCCTGGGCGTGGCTGCGATCGTCTTTCTGAGCCTTGCTGTGGCGATACAGTTTCTTCTACAGGTACGTGTGTGTGTGTGTGCCATTTGTGTGCTCATTCCTCTCTCTCTCTCTCTCTGTGTAGGGCATGGACACAAGCCTCTCGTCAATAGGTGCAGCTGTCCTGCCGCCAGACCTGTTCAGGCCAGTCAGGTATTCTCCTCCCCCCACACCCACACACCACAGACACACACACCTGCCTGTGTCATTCATTCATCAACGCCATGTGTGCAGGGCGTTCTCCCTGGTCATCTTCGCCTACTCGTGTCAGTCCAACGTGCCCGCCATCTACTGCGAGCTCGAGAACCAAAACTGCCGGAGGATGGTCAAGGTTTCCAGGCGGAGTACCTTCCTCTGCTTCATCACCTACGCCCTCATGGGGGTCTGCGGCTTCCTCTCCTGGGGCGACGGGACCGGCAGCAATATTATGCAGAACTACGCTGCGACGATTGGACGAAAGTGGGCAGAAAGGGTGTGTGGGTGTGGGTGTGGGTGAGGATCTCTCTCTCTCTCTGTGGGTGTGTCTGGGGGTGTTGGTGTGGTGTGGTGTGTGGTTTTTGGGTTCAGTGTGATGATGGCCCTGGCCTTTGCTGGAATGGCCTTTGCGGTCACCTTTGCCTACCCAATGAACATCTTCCCCTGCAGATACTCCATCGTACGACACACAGCCACGCACAAACAGAGAGAGAGTGCCAGAGCCAGAGCCACACAATGACACACACGTGTGTGTGTGTGTGTTCAGGAGATGGTGCTGTTCTTCAATCAGCCCCAGCTGATCTCACGCACTGTGTCGATGATCATCGCATCGAGCACGGTGTGTTGTGTGCGTGTGGATATGCCCGTCGATCTGCCCATTATTCCGCCATTTTGTGTGTCGTCAGGTGGCGCTGACGTTTGTGATAGCGGTGTTTCTGCCGTCCATCAGCATCGTCTTCGAGATCATAGGCTCCACCAGCGGCGCCTTCGTCTCCTTCATTCTGCCCGGGGTGAGCGAGCCAACACACCCCTCCCTCAATGCACACAGACGTGTGTGGATCTCTCTCTCTCTCTCTGTGTGTGTGTGTGCGTGTGTGTGTCCATCGTATCAGTACTTCTTCATCAAGCTGTGTCCCGGCCCCGTGACGCACAAGCGGAAGCTGAGAGCACTCGGGCTGGTAGTGCTGGGCGTCGTCGTTGCCATACTCGGGTATGTGCACACACACACACACACACACACGGAGAGAGAGAGATGGGCGTCACATGGCCACTGTGTCCGTCTGTGTGTGTGGTGTTTGTAGGACATGTATGAGCCTGATGGACATTCTGTCGATCCACCAGAAGCCCGCCACATAGGGAGGGAGGGAGAGAGGCGTGGTGGCTTTCAATCCTCATCCATCTATCCATTCACCCATCTAGAGTGCCAGACGAGACGAGAGCGTGGAATGGCTTTGAGTCGAATGTGTCTGTGGGTCGTGTGCCGTGGGCGCCTGCATGGATGCAGGCGCGTGTAGCGCACCGGACAGCGGACAGACAGGGAGACAGGGAGACAGGGAGGGAGACAGGGAGTGTTCAACGATCCGTGTGTGGGGGGGGGTTGGGGGGGGGGGACTGTGGGTGTATCTGTCCATCTGTCTGTCTGTCTGTCTCCCATCCATCCCATTCATCCGTTGAGGTCACCTGTATAGAAGAAGCCATTTATCGCTCTGCCTGCCTGCCTCTACCTATTCCTTGATCCATTACATTGTACCATTAGCCAGCCTGGCGGCTCATGCCCTGCCCAGATGTGTGTGTGTGTATGTGTGTTTGTCGTGTACAGTTCACCCTATGACGCGTCAGTGCGTGAACATCTCCACTTTTCAATGCTCTTCCCGACCATCTCACCGGTAAGTCATTGATTCGATTCAGTCAGTCGCCAGTTCCGTGGTCTATCGGTCCGGTTTGATCTGTGTCCGACCCACACCCACACCCACCCCGGCCAACCAAGACAGGCAGACAGACGGACAGACGGACAGACGGACGGCCGAAAACACACGCACCACACCACACGAAAGAAAAAGGTCTGAGGGGAAGATCCAGCCATCCATTCAGAGAGATCAAGAGGAAAGAAGACAGAATGTGCGACTGGCATGCACCTCCCTCCCTCCCTCCCTCCCGGTTGATTCTATCAGTTCTACCGTCGTGTGCGTGTGGGGTGTGAGGGGCGTGTGTTGGAGTGTGTGTGTGTTTAGGGGTGGTAAGCCTTTTACCACAAGGGCACCTCCCTTAGCTCCCTCGTGACCCCCTTTACCGGGCAGGGTGGGAACTCCATGCCGCGGGGCCGGCGACGCTTAGCCATCTCCCATTGCGACCTGCAACACACACACACACACACACACACAGAGAGAGAGAGAGAGAGAGAAAGGGAGACACCGAGACAGAGGGGGGGAGAGAGAGATGTGTGTCTGTGGGTGTTGGGTGTTGCCCGGGTGGTGTGCGTGCGTACACTGGTGTGCAGATCTCGTTGCAGCATCGGGCCATATCGCCGCACTTGACGTTGTCCGCCTCACCTCTGCAGTCCTCTACGACTGAGAACCGAAGCCATCCATCCATCCATCCACGGTGTTGCCTTCGTCACCTACTACCTTGGGGAGGTTGTTCCGGGTTGACATCGTAGCTCCCCTTACTGCCAAAGAGAGTTTCAAAGATGCCTGACATCCGTGTGCGACAGACATAGACACAGACAACCAAATCCATCCATCCATCCGCTGGCACGTGTACCATACTCACCCTTCAGCTGTTGGTCGGCGGCTTTGAGTTGCTTGAGCGACCGACGGATATCGTCCTCGGCCTTGCCCAGCTCCGCAGACAGCGCGGCCATCGCCACACCTGCAACCACCCGCAGGTGCGAAGACATATGCCCTCCCTCCGCCGATCCATCCATCCATCCATCCATCCAGATACGTACCCTCTTGCCCATATTCTCGGTCGAGAAACGAGCCCGGGGGAATGATGCTGGCCGACGTTGGCGAGTACTTATCAGCTGCACATACCAAAACACATACACAGAGAGATCTGGGCGGTGCGTCCACAATACACGGATAGATCTGGGCCTTTTGACCGTCGCGCATTGACGTTCTGCCGGCAGCAGGCATTGTGCACCCTGTAGGCCGACACCGACACCCCGAACAGCCAAACACCCACACACAGATGGTTGGTATCTGATGAATCATGGGGCGGGGTGGGTGGGTGTGAGGTCTTAAGGTCCTACCGGCCATAGCAGCGAGTGCGGCGCCCCAGAGGCTCAGCAGCACCAGATGCGAACCCATGATCTTATTATTATCTGGAATCTCCCGCCAGGTTATGTCGGCCAGGGTTTGGCCAGCTTTAGCCAGCTTGCAGAGGTACGGTTCTTTTCAACTACGTTGGTCCGTCGTATGCCAGTCCACACACACATGACCATCAGCACACGCATACGCACACACACCGCGACACACATGCATATGTAAGCATGCCTACCACACCACACCACCCCCCCTCCCCTCCCCTCCCATGAGACAGCTACGTGGCCTTGACAACGCACAGCTCCTTCTTCTCTTTGTCTCTGACGCCACATCACGCACACAAAGAGAGAGAGAGAGAGAGAGAAGGACGGATGTGGTGGGTGGGTGGGTGACATCCATCCATCCATCCATGCATGTGTGTGTGTGTGTGTGTGTGCACTTACACCATGTAGTAGTCAGTATTGCCGAGGCGCTCGATGCCCGCCTCGAACTCGCCAGCGGTGAATCGGCGCCGCCGGCCGTTGTTCAACTGACAAAGGCACACATAGCCATGTGTGTGCGTGTGGCTTTGCCATCCATCCATCCACACGTACCATCCGCAGCACATCGGCGAAGGAATGGTACTGAAACTCTTCCAGCTGAGCATGCACCGGCTCCATGCCCTTCTGCAGCTCCGCAAACCTGCACACACAAACACTTTGCGAAGGGGGTGGAGGGGGACAGTGAGACGAACCGCGCGTCAGAGATCTGTGTGTCCTGGTTGTTGTTGTCCTGCTGGTCGTCGTCCTGGTCCATGCTCTCCGGCTCAGGCTGCTGCTCCTGCGTGTCGTCCTTCTTCTTGTCCTTGCCGTCCTTGCGGCGTTGCTTGGCCGCCCGACCGCCCTCGCCCAGATCTGTATATCCCCCACACCCAACACACACATGGGGGGATGGGCGGATGGGTATAGGTCCCTCTCCCTCCCTCCCTCCCTCCCTCTGTCTCTCTCTCTCTCTCTCTCTGACCGTCTTGTTGCTTGCGCCGGCTGGGCAGCTGTCGCCTCTGCTGCCTCTGCCGCCCTGTCTGCTGCTGCTGGTCTTGATCGTCACCATCATCCTGCTTGTCGTCCTGCTCGTCGTCCTCGCCGTCACCACCACCGGGCGGTTTACTGCACCCCCCATCCATGTGTGTGTGTGTGTGTGTGTGTGCAGCCATATGTGTGAATGTGTTTGTCTGGGGTGAGTACCGTCTGTCGGTTGACTTGCGGAGGCGCCTGCGTGGCCGCTTCGGGGAGCCCCTCTCACCACCCGGGCTGTCCAGATCGCCATAGTCGTGCTCATCGTCCTCACCCTACACACACACACATTGATGGATGTGTGGAATAGGGAGAGAGAGAAACTCGCGCAATCACACACGCCCCTCTCTCTCTCCCTCCCTCCCTCCCTCTCCCTCTTTGTGTGGGGTTCGCGGAGTGAGGGAGGCACGCTTACGTATTGCTCATCATCCTCGTCAGCCATGTTTTCGTCCCCCTCTCCCTCTCCCTCGCCCATCTGCTCGTCGTCGTCCACATCGCCGCCAAGAGTGTGGAGGACCAGCCTCAGCGCTACGTCTACATCAACCTGTCGACACAAGGCACACACACACACATGGGGCCGAGAGGGAAAGGGAGGGGTGGAGACTGACCTTGGTAACTTCATCCGACAGCCGCAGCTTGGCGTGGGCGGTCGACAGACGGATGAGGGCCTACACACACACACATATATATATATATATATAGGGGTGTGGGTGTCTCCTGGGTCTTCTGGGTGTCTCCTGGGTCACCCACCTCTAGAGTGCGGGTGGTGACGACGACCCGCCGGCTGCGCGAGCGGCCGGTGGGGTTGCGGTTGAACTTCTCGCTGACCCACACACACACACACACCCCATATCGATGAACAATTGTGTGTGTGTGTGTGAGAGAGCGTACCGCATCTCCGCATATGCATCTTGGATGAGCTCCACCGACTCAGCTAAGGGCACATACACACACACAGAGAGAGAGATGTGTGTGGGGGTGTGGATTAGTGTGTGTCCGTACGTGTGAGCTTTGGTTTGAACGTCACTTTGGCGTAGTGGATGTACTTCTGCAGAAACTCCAAGGTCAGGAACTCGGGCACATCTCTGAGACACCCACCCCACGCCGGCACATGTCTCCCTCCCTCCCTCCCTCCTGTGTGGCCCACCCATTTCGATCTCTGTGATGCTGCACGTTGCCGGCGTCCTCAAACGGCTTGCTCGTCTCTGACCACACACACAGACAGACAGACAGACAGACAGACAAGTGGGTGCATCGACATCAACTCCTCGTGTGTGTGGTCAGGTCAGTGCTCCCTCACTCTCCCGTCTGTTGTCATTTTCGTTGCCGTTCTCGTCGTCCCCGCCGCCCCCGGGCCCCTCCATCATCGCGCCCCCCTGCAAGTTGCCCATGTCCACCGCACCGCCGCGACGCAGCGCGGCCTCGTCGCCTAAACCAACACACACGACGACATCCACAGGCATCTCTCTGTCTGTCTGTCTGCCTGTGTGTTGGGGGGGGGGGGGGG